CCATGTGAAAGCAGCCGACATCACAGCAAACCAGGAACCAATACGAGCAGAACTGCTAGCTTTTTAAGCATTTTTAATGGGAAATGGTGTCTGATAAAGGCATCATCTTTTTGGCATGTCATCACAGGAAATTTGCTACAGGGAGCCAGATTTGCAGGGCATGCAAAATATCACAACAGCATTGCTGAATTTTTCTGGGAGAGATTATTTGTCAAGCTCTTCATCTCTATCATCTTTGAAAGGGCCTACCTCAGACAACATATATATTTGTACAAGACCTTGACTGATTCTAATTTCTTAATTAGGGGTATTAGAAGTAGCTCTGCCAAGCAAGGCCTTGGACCTGGCCAGAGCTGGTAGAGATAAAGGAGCCAACTGAAGAGGATAAGGTCTGACAAGGAATAATTCTGAGTTCTAGGAATCTAGTTTTGCTTACCAGAATCTCTTCAGCAACAATTTCAGTTGCAGCCTGAAGGGAAAGTAGATGGAGAAGACATGACAAAAACATTGTATGGAATGGGCAAAATACATGGCAAAAAAAGGAGGAGGAGGAAAAAAAAAAAAAAAACACAAAATAAATTAAACAGTAGGACACAAGGGAGAGCAGAAAAAATGAGATTAATAACAGAAGAAACTGACTGGCTCCACTGAGCAAATGCTAGTTAACAGAAAAATTAAATTCTGCAGGATTAAACAAGGCATTAAACAGGTTGGGGGGTGGAACACAAAAAACCCAACAAAACCAGCAACAACCAAGTGCTCTCAGATATAAATCAAGTGGCTTTACTGACTTTGAACACTCAACTGGACTGGAAAAAGCTCTTTACTAAAGCAGCCACAGTAAATGCATGCAAATTGCTGAGAGCACAAATTGTGGAAGACTACACACTTAGGGAGGTATCCTCTGCTGATGCTAATACGTCTCTTGATTCAGGCAGTAAGTTTAAATACCTGCACCAACAGGCAGCAGGAATGTGCAGAGAAGAACCCCAGATATCTCACGTGTCTTGGATTTAATGCATCCACACGTTTCCAGGCACTTAAAGAAAAGAATCACCCCTTAAACCTCTCTCCCCATCCTAATGGGGCAATGGTAAAGAACTTTTTTCATTAGCAAATGGAAAATAAAATCCAACAAAGATAATATCTTGAAGACCTACCCAAAACTAGTTTTAAGAACGTCAAGGCCCCTGGACTCAGGCAGCTCTCCCAGCACTGGAAGGGATCAGAACCACCACAGAGAGACACAGGGAAGCTGTAACTGGCTACCACATGCCCTTTGTAGAAATTGTGAAAATAACCACTTTGGGAACTATCTGTGAACACTTCCAGGGTCCAGTTCTGCACAAATTCCACTGGTACAAACATGGACCAACTCTGCTGATGTGGTGCTATTGTAACTGAGACTCACAGCTTGAAATCCAACTTTGGCAGAGTACTGGCCCAAATCTAACACAAATCAGCCTCTCTATTCTTGCCAATACTTTGGCATCAGCTGGCTGAGGCAGGGTTGCTGCTACCCCTTCAGCTGGAGTTTGGGCCCAATACATTTTTTCGTGAGTGCTACCACCATCAGCACTTGCATGAAAGCCACAGCTTGAAGAGAAATGCTCTGGCACGCTTAAAACCTACGAGAAACCAAGATTTTTTTGCATATGTGAAGTTCTTTTTAGCATGAGCCATAGTCTGTTGTACCAGATACCACACAGATGCTCTGATGAAGGACTATATAGACAGGGAGGAGGCCGCATCAGATGCCAGCTGTGTTCCTCACAAGCCTTGCTGACCTCTCCGGGGTCACAGCACAGGTGAACAGCATCAGTTTGCAGCTGCAAAGACCCTCTCCCCTCCCTCTCACCACAGCACTTTCTCTCCTGCTGCAGAAGGCCACCACTGCATCAAACATGGCTGAATGGGGAAGCTGAAAGTGGCTGAAGTTCATTATACCCTCCCAGGAAACATGGGCTTGCAGACGATGAGAAAATATTGGTCAGCATGACAGAGTTTACACCTGTATCAGCAGCCTAACCATCATCAGCTCTCTGGCAGGCATCACGTTAGAGGGCCCTGTAGATCAGATTTGCAGGAGCCCCTCAGGACAGTTGCTGGGGGTTTCTTCCATCAAGAGTTGCACAGCATGAAAGTAAAGGCTTTAATTTTTAAATTTAAACAGGCAAGAACATGAAGCGTCAGAGCCAGACTGAGTTCACATTACAGGACTCCTCTCTACACTGGTGGCTATGTCAGCCATTGCAAGTGAGATGCGAGAGATGAACAAGACTCACAAACCACTTGGTCCTAAGGACATCTGTTAAGAGTTACTGGATGTGGGCATAGAAAGTTTGTACCACTGATCCCCTACAGAAGCACAAGAATGCATCTGAATAGCAAAGCTACTTTGCTTTCGGCTCCATTTTTAGCACAACACTTCAATTCTCTTACCAGATTCAGTGGTACCAAGAATCTTCACCAGCACATTCCACAAGTCATAAATTAGCACCAGTAGTAAAACAAGGCAGCCATTCCTGGGCTGAACCTCACACCAGTAAACACGAAAATCACCTCTTAGTCCCATAAAACAAGCGTTCTATATCTCCAATTCAGACCTGAGAGCTGCAGAGTACCAGCCCTGTGCTTTGGGCGTAGGCTCCGGGGAGGAGTGTGGAAGGTGGCTCTCATTATTTCCTGCAGATGGGACAATTGCCCTTGACTATGCAGGGACAAAGAGAGGTTGTCTTCACTCTGCAGGAAGCCAGCTCCCCAATTTAATAAAGGTTTCTCCTTCCAATTGCTTCACTGAATTATGAGAGCAACACTTGCTCTTGTAACAAAATTTCACCTGCTTTTCAAGCACAAACTAAACAAGCTTTCCTGAGAAAATAATTTCTGACTATTAAAAGGCTACTGTTGGAACTCAAGAGGACTGTTAAAATACAAAGAAAGACGTACCATATTCTTCCTGAAGTGATACTTCAAACAAAACATATTTGTGTTTTGAAATATGGCACTAGAACAATGACCAGTTGTTTTTGTAAATTTTCAGACTGAGAGCCATGCAATCATTTTCCAAGAGTAGCATTTTTTTGCTGTTCATGGAAATGCTGGCAAAAAAAAAACAGGCGATGCAGTTGGTCTCTGCCTTAGTCAGCAGAGGAGTCTCAGCCCATCTCTCATCAAGCCCATGCTGGAGAAAGCCCAGCTCGGGACCAGACCGGGCAACTCTGCTTCTGCCAGGGAGTCATCCCCAGGGAAAAGCCCCCATTTTCCTAACTTCCACCTTCTTACTCCTCATTACAGCCTCAAGTCTTACACCAGATAGCAACTTACTTTTGCTGTTTTGTTAAAAGCAGATTTGTAACAACCATTTTCTCCATAAGAATCAATTCTTCCACCTCTCGCCATTATGACTTTGAGTGCTACTTGAGGCAGGAGCACTTTGAAGCATCAGCTCTGCAACAACCACATGCACAGCCAGAACTGCATCAGCAGCCCAGAACTGCCTTGTCACTATTACCCCTATAGTGTCCAAATGCCTCAGGCCCATAACCTTGGAAATCCCCTAGAATGGACAAGGTTGGGGTAGATTTTCTCCAGCCATACTGCATTGAACTTAGGCTGCTGCACTCTCCCTTTTTTTTTTTTTTTTTTTTTAAGTGTCTGATCTTTTCTGTCATTGCTCTGTCTTGACAAATGGCTGGATGCAGCACTTTCAGCATACTCCCATCTCCCAGGAAGGCAAGCTATTAAAGCACAAACCAGTTTTGTCCTTTGCCATGAAACCTTTGCAGCATCTGTTAGCATGGAAGACTACATCATTCACTGACACCGCTTACCCCTCAGCCTGAATTACAACCAGGCACTGTGAAATGCTGCTCTAATTATGCTGTCTAGAATGGCTGGGCCACTGTTCATTAAAAAGAAAAGTCAAATTACTGAATTCCCTTCTCATCAATCTCTGCTGACAGTCATTCTGATGATCAGCGAGGCATTAAGACTGCTTATGAAAAACAGAACCTGGAAGATGGTCTCACCTATGACACAACTGCTTTTCCCTTGCAAGTCACCTCAAACGTGTTGGAGATGGAGACTAGCAAAGCAAACACCTGTTGAAGCACATACCCTCGTGTCATAAAGCAAAGGGGAAGATGTCACAAAACAAATGCTGAGAGGAAGATGCAGCAGCCATCTACTTACAGCAAAGTGTCCAAGGCGTAGTTCTGTTTAGAGAGAGGACATCCTCCAAGCTGCTGTGGAAAAGCCGCTCTCTGAGAGCAAACCCAGTGCTGAAAGTTCGGTGCCAGCCAAGGCAGGGCAGTTCACAGCAAGGTGGCAAGAACGGCAGCTTTTCCCCAGTTCGCAGCTGAGCTGCTTGTGTCCGGACAAGGCAGCAGCGATCCCCAGTGTCCGACCTCTCCAGGTAGTCACCACGTGTGCCCTGGCCTCGCACTCCTGCCCCAGAGCTGCCCCAAGCCCCGCAGCACCTCAGCAATCACCATTTCTCACCCACGTGCTAATCCTCAAAATAACACCAAACTCCTACTTACCAGTTTTGGTGATGAAGCACGTATATATTTTTTAAATCTCAGAAAACATAACAGCATAAGACAAAATTCTACTCTATACCCCTTAAATTATATTTCAAGTGCAGTTCTGCAAACTCAAATCAGAAAACAAGATCTGGTGGTCTCCAGGCCAGTGATCCAGAGCTAGAAAGCACTATAATTAGAATGAATCAGGAGTGAGATTGAAGACCCCAGTTTGTTTGCAAAGCTAATTATCTAATGTCATTAGAAAGCAAGAGAATCAGAGAATAAGCAAGAGCAGCATCAGACTCTACAGCTATCTAAGCAAAGGACAGTTTAATAACTGTACTTAGGATATATTTTAAAAGAAAAAAGAAATCATTTTATGGATTAGATTTCAGCCCTGGCAATATTCATACATCTCGGACTTAGCAAAATGGCTTGGAGAAGAGGGTTTCATCATAGTAAACACAGCTACTTCACAGCAAGATTTATTAATACATCCAAAAGAAAGAAAGAAAATCATTTTGTCACACTATATACAGATAATACATACAGTGTTTTATACACATATTACATCAGTTTTTACACAAGAAAAATATACATAAAAATGTAAACTTCTGTATACAAAAACCCTTAAACAAATTAAACAAGGACCAGATAACAAAAGGAGACCAATCTATTATCATTTCATTAATTTTTTTTTTTTTTTAAATGGTAATACAGTACATTCATTGAGAAGTATGAGGAACATGTGAGCCAACCTTTCCTATTTAAAGGGAAAGTACAAACGCGAGCTTTCCTACCCGCCCCTGGAATGCTGTCCGTGAGCCTCCAGCACTAGAAGTAGTAGTGTGAGTTGCTGTTGCTGCCGGGGACCCCGCAGGAAGCGACCCTTCTTCTCGGGCATCCCCATGCACCGCACGCTCCGAAAGCGACACATCTGCAGAAGCGACCTGGACTGGGCTTTTTGTGCGTATTAGCTAGTCTTCCAGCTAATATCGTGAGACGGGATGCGGCAATGCAAGTTTGTATGTTCCCTTTAAGCAGTCATTAAGTGGATTTAGCTTTGCTGGAGTAAGTCATTTATTTTTCCCAATGTACGGTATGCTGAACACATGTGTCAGGGATGAGAGGGAAGAAGGAAAGGGTGTAAGAGACTGCTAATCCTTGCTACCATGCAGTTACTTCAAAATCAGGTACGTTTGCAAGCTACAATTCACTGGTTCAAAATACACTGCCTCACCTTTGCTTTCCCACTGCAACTTGTTTACATTTTAAACTCTAGTGGCCAAACAACTGTACGAGGCTCTTTGTTACAAGGCTGTTTCTGATATCAAAGCGTCATCAAGCTACCTTTAAAATGACACCAAACACAAACTTCTCTGAGACAGCCTTAAAAAGAGTGAGCATTCCCTCCAAGCACTTCGGATTGTCCATTTGCCACCTTCTCTTTTATTAAATCCAGGATAAAAATATTTACCCTTAACTGCAAAAAGGGTATTGGTTGAGATCCTGACATCTGTTTTGTTTCACTTGCAGATAAACATTTTGGGGAACTGGAGGGAAAAAAAAAAAAAACAACAAAAACAAAACAAAACCCAAACCCACAACAATAAACCCAAACCTTAAAACAGCAGGCATCAAATAAGAAGGGAACTACTTAATATGTTGGTGAAACAGTTGCAGAAACTCGTTAGAAACAAACGACAGGTTCCAATGAAGGCTTCTCACATTAAATAAGTTAAAGACTTGTTACAGACATCTTCAATAAAAACATCCATCCTCCACAAAGTATGTTAAAATGTAACACAATAGTGATGCACTGGAATTTCTCCTGAAAAGGACAGAAGGACATGAAATCTCCTTAGTGGTATCAGTACTATTGAATGTAGGAGGTGAACAATGATTGACAAAAGTAATGAGGAAAAAAGCTGCAAAAAGAAACTATGAATCATTAATTATAATTGGACAAAAGGGAGGATGGAGCAGAATGCTATTACAGTATGCCTCAGAAACCCCTGAAAGAAATAAATACTTAGAAACTTGTGTTTCTTTGTCTTTGTTATGTCCATCTAAGTGATGGTGGGAGTAAGGGCTTGTCTGCTTGCTTTTGGTTTTTTGTTTTCTCTCTTTTTTTTTTTTAAACAACAACACTTCTAGTAAAAATTCAAAAGACAATTACAAATGGCTTTAGATAATTAAGAGTCTCCTTTTTAAAATAAAACTTTGATAACACATTTCTCCATTTCTTCTATATAATGCAGCTTCAGTGAAAATATGTCATAAGGGACAGCAATTTGCAAAAAGTGGGAAAAAAAAATTGCCAACCAAGGTTCATAACATATACACATGTATATGCAGGACATCTACACTCTATATACATATTTAATATACGTATGCATGAGTATATATCAGGAGAGAACCAACAGGTATGTTCTCCACATACATAAACTGAAATAGCATAATATAGGTGTGTGTATAAATAGGTATTATACACACACAGTACACAGACATACCCATACACACGCCCAAACATATGTAGTATAGAAATAGTCGTATATGATTGAATGAAAGCTCAGATGGAACAGTACACCAGTTACCTTTTTCTAATAGAAATGCAAGGAAGACAAAACTCCATGGATGAATTGTGGCCAAGAAAAATCGTGCCATATCCATACTGAAAACATGGAATTGCTGTGCGGCTCAATGACTGAATTGGAGCAGCATTCTCTATTGAAACTGAAGCCTAAGTTAGCCAGGAGCTTCAACAGTGCTTAAATGTGACTGAGAAGGTTTCTGACAGCTGCTTTCTGCTAAAAGGATACAGAAGCTCCATTTAGCCAGAAAACAGAAAATAAAATGCTTAAAACCACAATTTACTTGCATAAGCAAGATCATTCAATACTCAATTAGATGCAAAGTGCTAGCACGTTAATAGTCAACTCTGCAGCTCATTTCAAAATCTGTTTAATAGTAAAACGTAACGAGCTGTGTTTCTCTTGATATGTTTGATGACAACCCCATTGCTCAGAACAGAGCACAGGGCTGCCTTCCGCCTACTACCTGCATTACAGGAAACACAAACTGAACTCTCCCTGGGGCTGAAAATTGAAGACAATTTTCAGTGGGTGCTTTTTTCTCATTTTGAACTAAAATACGATGCTGGGTTAACCTTTTAATATGCTAGAAAGCTTTGCATCAGGTTCTAAGAAAAGTTTGTGTTCATCTGCAAATCGATCGCAGTCATACTCAAGCACAATTGAATAGCTGAGAAATTCTGCATAAGTTCAAGCAAGTGCTCAGGGCCCAATTCAGCTGCCACTACAGTCACAGAGAGAATTTCCTTAATGCATAAGCAGAGCTGGATTGGGCTAGTAAAGCTGACTGCTGCTACCAAGAGAAACTGTAGAGATGCGGGGACAAGGAGGAGCTGGAATGGAGGCAATGGAGCAGAGAAGCAGAAGAGGTTGGCATTGCAAGAGGCCTCAACAAGCATTAATATAGGATAAACAAAAGCAGAAATGTACAAGGAAACTCCACTGTGAGGACTGAGGTAACACAAATCCACGGTGACCAAGCTCAGACCAGTCACTGATGTCATCCAAATCCCTCAGAAGAATTAAAACAACCTTGTTTGGCACAAGTGCTTACCTGTTACACATGTTACGTGGATAGTCTCTCTCCTTAGCTCACACACTTACTCACGTTACAACTAATGTACACGTGTGTGATACAACGTACATTCCATCTATACATCTGTATGCACGTATATATAGATTTAGATTGATTGCATTCATACGTATTTATTGTACATCATGAGGGCAAGTCCACATTCAGCAAAGTGCTACCAACATCTCATATACAGATATATCTCTCTGTACAGGTATACACAAAAATGGGTCTATTCTTCCCCATAAAGGCATAAAGATTTATGCTGCTAACTCCCATTACCACCAAATAAGCAGAAGGAAAGGCCTCTGACAACTTCCACCTCCCTGCCCTTTCACTTGTATGCATATGTGCCAGAAACAAATTGCTAGGAGGGGGAAAGAGGAAGGAATGCTTGGGGGGTATCAACATACTGATAGGGAGGGGGATATAAAAAAAATTTTGAAAATTAAGATTTGATTTGCAACTGCTTAAAAAAAGCCTTCAAAAAATTCAAATGTCTGTGCAATACTGAAAGCTCTGTTTTTCTAAACAGATTTTTAAAGTCACCAGGATCATCATCATTAAAAGTGATACTGTATGAATAAATAACAATTAGGTTACTTTTTCCAGCCTAAATAGAACAGTATGAAGAGTAAGCCAATCTGTAAGAATGTTTCTGACTTCTCACAATTTCAAGTGAGAACTCCCATAAAGAAATCTTCCTTCTCCAATTATAAAAAAAAAAAAAAAAAAAAGTTAAGTGGCCATAATTAAATTCAGAATTTCACAGCACAAGTGAAAGTCCCTGGATTGAAAGTGTATTTTGTTCTGCAATCCCACAATAGCAACTTTGGGACAAAATTAATATACGCAAAGACCCTCAAGGAAAGAAAATAATCTACGACAAGATCCTTTTACAGAATGGAGATCACTCCACGAACAGTGCCCCTTACATCCTAATTTGAAAACACAAGTACACTGATTGACAACATTTTCCAAGTCAGACCATAAGAGACCCGGGTATTTGCAAAGATACAGCAGTTGCCATGTCTCCCCATCCCACCGAACGCAACCCTTCCCATTTCAGTTTCTCCTGGAAAACACCACTCATTTCTCCCATCTCTCCTCGTCCCCCATTTGTTTTATTTAAAGGCTGTCTTTGGGAGCTTGGTATTTTCATGGCATTTTAAACAGGGCTCAATGCAACTCATTTAAAAAACAGTAAAATTGACATGATATCAGAGTTAGCCTTATAACAGAAGATTATGTAGTAGAGAGTATCAGTTATTTATACAACAGTGAGGACGTAACAACCCCCTACTAAATAATCACATTTCTACAATACATTCCATCACCTCTCAACTACTTTTCTCTTTACAAGACTATGACCTACATACAATATACACATTCGTATCGCACATACATCCCCCCCAATGCATAATTTTTGTGTGTATATATAATACATACATGCACACAAGCAGTCTAATTCTATTTATAAGTCACAGTGGGAATTCCTTTGTGAGGAAAGGAGGGGAAAAATTCCTGAATAAGACTCTGTAGATACCTAATGTTCTGACTTTTCAATTTCCAACTCACAGAGCTAACTGGAAATAAATACATTAAAAAAAGAAAAGGTCTTACAAACTTGGTTCACAACTTCCAGCTACAGCAGTCGGATTGTTTTAATTTGATCTATTTACCCTGTAACTAAATTTCTAATCATAGGTACAAACCACGGATAAATTATTGCAGAATGTAACACTCAAAATAAAATTTAAAAAGAGTTATAGGAATAGTAATATAAGGGTTAAAAAGAGTTCTATGCTTGTTGATACAGGATACCATTTTATTTTATTTATATATATATATCTATATATAGATATAGATATCTGCAAGGTAGCAAAGAATAGCTGTACACCTTGACACGGCAAAGATCCAGTGTAAAAAGGTGCTTCACTAGTTTGTTTTTCCAAAAAAGCTTGTATATAATTTTATAGCTATTAAAAACACATATGCAACATAATTCATTACACTCAATACAGCTTTAGTATAAAACTTATAATTTATGAGGTGATGTTAATAGCATAAATTAATATACCATTTCTCTTAAAATCTACAATAAGTATTCTGAAAGCTCATTGGGGAAGGGTATCTTTAAATAAAAAGTTTAAAGCTGAGCGTGATGAAAAAGATTCTGTATGTTGAACTTGAGATGAGAGCCCCGAGAAGAGAAAGAGTCCCTAAGCCAGACACCATGGACTATAAAACTGAACAAAGATTTCTTCTTCTTGCGCTCTCACTTAGGTGACGCTCTACCTTAAATTATTACCTACTTTTAAAACTATTTACTTTTTTTTTTTTTATTAACTGCCCTTATTTCCACAAGGAATCCCTGAGACATACCCAAAACCGTACAGTGAAGGTCATCACTGTTCAGAGAAACTGGTTCAACCCCTTCTGGTAGGATATAGCTATTTTGCATGAGAATCAAACTGTCCATCACTTCAGAATTAATCTATTTGCACTGGAACCAACTACACTCTTTAAGACGCAGGTTAGAGTCATTTCAGGGTAAATCAGTCCACTTCAAGGTAGAAGCCAACGCCATCGCAGTTAGCTACATCAGAGCAATCTGCACCAAAGTTAAAGTTTTCCAGAGGGTATCTGGGAATGTTACCTATCCAGAGTTCACCTCTGTGGGCACTGTCTGACAACGACAGAAAGCAGGTGAAACATTAGCATTACTGGACCAAGTTCAACACACGTACGCTGTTGACAGGTGGGTACACTGGACATCCCACTCTGTGTGTGTTTGGGGGACTAGCAGGGGGAAGGAGTAGGAAGAATGCAATTTTCTACATTGAGTAAGTACAGTTTTAAGGTCAAAAGCCCAAGTCTCATCCTGTTCACTTCCAAACTGAATGCTATGAACCAGAGTAGCGTGAAAAGGTGCCAACACTTACTTCAAGGAGACAGAAAAAGAAAGCCTCCAACTATTGCTGTCAAACTGTTGTCAAGCCCACTTTCTTCTTTCAAGCTTCCAGTATGTTACCTTATTCCACAGTAGCCAGAGAAGGATTATGTGAAAGTAGAATAAAACGGGAAAGCAGAGAACCCAATAACCATGAGAAGTAGCAGAACAGCAAAAGGAAAAGCTTCCACGATGGTTACTATTGTTTGTTT